TAGAATAGAATAGAATAGAATAGAATAGAATAGAATAGAATAGAATAGAATAGAATAGGGAAATAATAGAATAAGAATAGAATGGATTGGAATGGAATGGAATGGAATGGAATAAAATAAGGAAAGAATAGAATAGCAGAGTTGGAAGGGACCTTGGAGGTCTTCTCATCCAACCCTGTACTTAGGCAGGAAACCCTGCACCATTTCAGGGTTGGAGCATTTACAACTTCTGGAGGCAAGTTTTCCACTGGTTAAACTAATAACTAAACAAATTAGTAACTAAAAAGTTACTAATACCTTCAGAGCTTATAATGCAGCAAGGTGAAACTACTCTCCTGTTCTCAAACTCTGTGGGCATTTTTAATCTCACATAGTGTACTTAGACTTACTCTTTATTAATTAAGAGATGGAGTTGTTTATGATTATAATGATTGCATAACATTGACATTTTGAGTCCAAATATGTTCATTTGCGTTCATGGGTAGAGGTATTGCTTTTACTGCATGACAAAGGTTATGTTCAAATTTAGGCCAATCACTGTCAGAAGTTATGAATATAAAATGAGGCAGAAATACCATAGAGATATAGAGTCTGTCTCTGTCTCTCTGTCTCTCTCTGTCTCTCTCTCTCTTTCTCTCTCTCTCTCTCTCTCACACACACACACACACACACACACAGAGAGAGAGAGAGAGAGAGAGAGAGAGAGAGAGAGAGAGAGAGACCATAAACATACATTTCTTTGAGCTCTTGGGAAAACCTAGGTTAAAAATCTAATGAACTACATTAAATAACACAAGAACAGATGGTATTTGAAGCAGCTATGTAAGACTATTCATTTAAGTTTGTTATCCTTGTTGAATATACTGTTGAACCTCCTGATAGCAATGCCAAACCTGTGCTCTAGACTCCCCATTTATGGTTTAAAATGTCCATGCAGGAAGAAAGTCTCTCCCATTGGTCCATTCCCCAAAATTATACTCAAGGGTTTATTTAATACTACTAGTTTTGGAGTTAGACCCCAATATAATATTTGCTGAGAGCACCTAATCAGATATGAAACCACCCATTACTTAGATCATCATGCCTTTCTTTACATGAAAATTACCAACCAAGGCATCCCTCCATCATAATTTAATTAAAAATAATAATAACCAGAACGTTGACTGCAGAATCAACAATCTTGAGATGAACTTTAATGTGCTAATAGCATTTCACTGCTATGACTGTAGGCTGAGTATGTTATATAACAGCAAATACTTTCCTGTTAGCTTTTATCACAACAATAATAGAAAGGGGGGGAAATACACCCCCCCACACACAAAAGTTGATGTTTCTGGAATGTTCCTTCAGGCTGGAGAGAAACTGCCGTATTTAGAGCAAAGCGTAGTCATAACTGATATTGTAATCTGTCTTTCAAACATAGAATTGGTCTCGTGCTTTTGTGGTTTATATAAATGTGTCTCCACGGAGCTAATGGACTTTGATGGGAAGAAAAATTAGCTCCTTTCATTCTTCATTCCTTTTCTGTTTTTTGGTTCCTCTGACGTTGTATGAAGTGGATCACACAGAGACCAAGGAAAGACCTCTACAGATTTTCATTGTTCTCCTTAATAATTACTTAATAACAGAGGAAATGATGAATAGATATTCATTACTTGTTAAGAAAAAGCCAATTTCATTTAGTGTTGTGGATCCATTTCTTCAGATACACCATTACCTGTATTCCTGATGTGGTAGGTTATGGTATGATCTTATATTCCAGAATTTATGGAATTTATGAGTACTTACTGAATACATCGCAGAAGATGGTGGATCTGAACCCTGCTTTTTGACAGATGGCTATGCTTCAAAACATTAGAACCATTAATTTCTGGATCCAAAACCATTCTTAGATGTGGATTCTGTAAACCGCTTAGAGCAGGGGTCTCCAACCTTGGCAACTTTTAAGACTTGTGGACTTCATCTCCCATAATTCCTCAGACAGCAAAGCTCGCTGAGCAATTCTGGGAGTTGAAGTCCACAAGTCTTAAAGATGCCAAGTTTGGAGACCCCTGGCTTACTTAGAGAGTGCTGTAAAAGATCTATGAAGCGGTATATAAGTCTGAGTGCTATTGTTAAAGATGGTCCTTATTGCAACACTCTATCTTAATTAAGCAAATAATATTTGGACTGAGATTCTTACGGTTGCTCGGAAAGGTTTGCATACATGTAGGGATATCAAACAAATAGACAGATCAGTCCTAAATGCTGCAGTTTGTGGAATTCAGATTTCTCATTTTAAATATTGGTCTTAAAAGTTAGGTCTTTTTGGAAAGTGCAAGCAATATGGTGCACAGGGAGGAAACCAGCAGAAATAGATAATTGTTAAAATCTTAATTTGTTCATGTTTTCCTGTTGAACAACAAACTCTTTATTGTTTTGCTTTTCCTTTTGTCTCCTTATCCTTAAATGTTTAGAATGGAGATAGAATTGAGCTTATTGCTGTGATTTTAATGAAGAAGACATAAACTGAAACTTGTGTTTCAAATTATTTTAATACTATTTTGCATCTCTTATTTTTTTTTAATAAAGAGAGACTAAAAGACAATGGAAAGTTTCATGTGAAACACTACTGCAGAGAATAAAATATAGATTGTATGAAAGAGAATCTGGTGGGATCGGTTTTTATTAATTGTCCACTGGGCTGTGTCTTGATAAATACAGGTAGCCCACAACTTACAACAGTTCATTTAATGACTGTTGAAAGTTACAATGACACTGAAAAAGTGACTTATATAAATGCAATTATGGTGTGCAAACCATGGTTTACAGCACTGTGCAAGCCAGTCTATGGATGCAAAGTCACCTATGCCTCAAGTATAATGTATAAGTTTTTAGCGTGCTTAGCTGGAAAGATTGATGGGGCTTACTCAAACTCCTCAGCTTAATGACATTATTAGAGAAAGATCTTGTTCTCCATCTAACGTAGTGTATAAAGTGCTTAAGCTGATTAAAATCAATGTCTGAAGGCCACTTAACTGGATTTCGACTACTGAGTGTTACCGTTTGCATGAGAATTCGGTGCAGTCTACCAGCTAGTCCCAACTTGGGAGGATGCCAGACAGTTTAACAACTGGTGTCACTGCCCACTAAGAAGGAAGGTCTCCAAATTTTAAATGTGTGATTGCAAAATATTGCAGCTCCATTCTGCGAACTCTGCACATCCTACCCTTGTATCGTTGACTGCAGGCTAATGTGACTTTTGATCATGCTTTGAAAGGGAAACCAAAGTAGATAAACTTTAGATTCGTAGCTCAAGAAATATTGTACACCATATCCCATGGTCATTGTTTTCATTCCCCCCCCCCCCTATATACTGACTGAATAATTGCATGCATAAGAGCTAGGTTTGCTTCAATAAGTCTAATGGTCCATCAAATCTAGTAGAAGTACTATAATATTTTTGATGCAGGACTTGACAATATTAAGCTGCTTATATTCTCAAACAATCCGGATATAACCAGCCGTTTGAATTGTTCTTCCCTTGAATTAAAACTGAGCTTTTCCTTTCAGCCATCCTTATATTCTTTTGTGTTTACACTGTGTTATTATTGATGGTCGCCACCATGTAAAAAAAGATGCTGAGACTCTAGAAAGAGTGCAGAGAAGACCAACCAAGATGATTAGGGGACAGATGGTTATTTCTGTTCCATGGGGAAGATTGATCTTAGATTTTTTTTTTTGAGACTCTTAAGAGGTGGGAATTTATTTATTTTTTAAGGTAGTCCTCAATTTACAGCCACAAAATGTTTTGCTAAGCAAAACATTTGTGAATTTTTCCCCGTTTTAGGATCTTTCTTGCCACCAGTTCTTAAATTAATTGCTGTGACTTTGCTTGTCATAAGGTTGCAAAAGGTGAGCCCAGCACACTGCAACCATCATAAATATGAGTCAGTGGCCAAGCGTTCTGGATTCTGATCACATGCCCATGGGAAGGCTGCAACGGTCGTAAAAACACACCTAAGTCACCTTTTTTTCCAGTGCTGTTGTAACTTTGAATGATGACTAACTGAACTGTTGTAAGTTGAGAATTACCTATAGTTGTTTCTCAAATTTAGGTAATGCCCATCTCACTCACAGATACTGGTGCAAAGAAAATGAGAGTTGGAATATTTATATCTTGCATGTTCGAATTGGCTTTTTTGTTGTGCATTTTTAAAAATCCCACTTTATTCCCTAATTCAAGATCTTGCATTGTTCTGCCACCACTCTTGCATATGTCTCTGCAGAAGAGAGATGCTCAATATTCAATATTTTCTTTTGCATTTCAGCAGCCTATTGCATAGGAATGGAGGAGTAATTTTTTAAAAAAAGTTTTATTTGGATTGAGATTGGTCTTTATCCTTAAAAAAAAGAAAAGAAACTGATTCCTTTTGAAACATTTAAAGAGATACTTTCTCATTTTTGTATTTACATGGCAGCCCAAAACAGCTCCGAAAAGGACTTTTGGATCCATTACAAATGAACAGGTAATTACATACCCGCATTCAAATATTCACTCCCCCTCCTTTTTGATTCTTTAAATATGGTGAAATAATTCCACGAAAGGGTCGTTTTTCAAAGAGGGAAGAGTGGGTGTTGAAACATGACTGAAATGTTTCTATAGATTTGAAATGATGAAGGTAAGTGCATATTTCAATAAGTCAACGTGTATTATAACACCTTGAAAGAATCTTCGTAGTAAATTAAGCTTTGGGCTCTGCATGCCATCTAATATTACAGCTTCATGATAGCTGCATGCACATCACTAAATGTCACCTGAAAACTCATCATTTCATATCTGGAGTAGGCCCTCACTGAAAATAATTATATTATTTTCAGGTAATGTGAAGCATCAGTGATGTGGTGTCTCCTTCATTTTGACTGGTTGTTGCTTCTTGCAGCAGTCATCAAATTATCAATATATATATTCTGATCATGAAGAATGCCATGCATTAGCTGATCGTTGCCATATCAAGATTGTAGAACTCGTGTTTAGTGATATCACCATGATGTCTTTTCACATCTTTGGTTATTCAGGGAGTACTTTTGTTTTTTCTTCTTAAATGAAATCTAAATGAAATATCGGAACAATCTTGTCTCTGATGATGGGATGTAAGTTTTGCCATCCTGCATATAAAAGGAGGAGAAAGCAACCCCAGTTTAAATTATTTTGTAAAACTATTTTTTTTCTATTCACCTGCTCTTATGCATGTATGCCATTACACATTAACACACATTTGCTGTTAAGTTCCTGTATATTTGTGTGTGTGTATGTATGTATGTATGTATGTATATGTGCATGCACAGGTGTCATGCCCGTCGGAGTCTGAATCTGATGAGGAAGATGAACAGTTGACAGGGAGTGAGAGTGTGGCTCTGTTGGCTTTGGAGGAAACTGGGGAAGGGCAAAGTCCAGCTGGGCAGAGCAGGGAAGAGGGAGAACAAGGGAGAGGGAATTCAGAGGAAGATCCAGGTCCACCCCCTCTTCATCCTAGGGCACGCAGAACAGAGAAGAGAGCAATATGGGTTGCATGGCTCATTGTTCCCCCTGTCAGAAAAATTATCCTTATTTCCAGGTTGAACCTCTCCTTGTTCAGTTAAAAGAGGAAAAATTGATGGCTCTCATCATCTATGTTTGTTGAAAAACCAAATGGAGAGCTTCTGCCTGAATTAAAAAAAAAAAAATCTCTGGGTTGTGGTTGCAGAGCTAAAGACAGAAGAATCAATGTGTGATTGTCAGATTGCATACAAATAAGGGAGCATGTGGAAGCGATCTCTCCCACTCCTGTGAGATTTCTTTCTTTTCTTTTCTTCCTGATTCCGCAAGCAAAAGAAAACAAAGCAAAATGCCTCCAGTCATAATTCAGGAGCTTTGCAAGCAAATAAATATTTAAAAAAAAAACACACACCAAGAAAAAAAAAGTGTCTACAATTTTCAAACTATTTACTGTAGTACAAGTCCTTCTGAAGTAAGGAGGATGACTTTGAAGCAAAGAGGCTGACTTGGTTTTTCTTTTTCTTTTCTTTTTCTTTTTCTTTTTTTTTGAGACCTGGGAAGTGATTCATTTAAACATGGTCATCCAGCCATAAAAGATCCCTCACGGTGGGATTGGCTATCAAAATTCAGCAAAAAGATAAGAGAGACAGGCAAATTAGCAGATGTGTGAACAGGAAGGACCGCAACAAGAGCTGGATATGATCAAATGCTGGATAGATTGAGTTTACCTTGGGGACTGAAGAGTTGAAAGCTGAGAACCAAGTGGCAACATTAAATCAAACCACATAAGGATTACTCCTAATGGATAATTGCTCATTTAGAATAATATATTTGTTCATTTTCAGCAGATAGCAGCAGCTAACCAGTCCTGGCTGATCTTGGAAGATAAGCAGGGTCAGACCTGGTCAGTATTGGGATGGGAGACTGGAAATTCAGAAAGCAGCCCATCACAAAGCAGTGGTGAATCACTTCTGAGTCACTGCAGGCACCAAGAAATGAGCTTGGCTCAAGGGCCTTGTATTTTTTTTTTTTTTTTGCTATTCTAGTAGAGCCGGCCAAGCTTCAGTTGCACCCAAGCATAGTCTTTGCAACCATCCTTGTTGTTTTGCGTTGAGTAGATGTTTATGAGACTGGACGGTACCTGGCCAAAGTGCTGTCTAACAAGACCCATAGTGATTATTATGGTTCACCAACAGCCTGTGCAGACGGCAGCATAATCAGACAGTGGGGAAGAACGGGGACCAGTCCAGGAGTCTGGAGAGGACTTGGATGAGGGTCCTGCATCTGATGCAGAGATGGGGCCAGGACCATCTGGGAGTGGGGTGCTGACTCCGGATCCACCGGAGTCTGGCAGCAGCAAGGCAGAGGAACCAGGGGAGCCTGTTCCCAGTGTGCGTATGCACAGAGCTGCTAAAAGGCAAGAGCAGCTGAGACAAAAGGGGCGACTCGGGAGTAAGACTGGGAGGTGATTGCCCCTCCCATAAGAGATAAAGGACATGCAAAGGTAGAGAAACCTTTGCAGGAAGCAACGTTGTTTGTTCTGTTCAGATTAATCCTTGAAGCTCTGTGCGGACTTTGTACTTCAGTTGGTTTTTTATAGTTCATTTGGCACTTTAGTTGTTGGCAGCACTTCAAAGGAGAGAAAGGTGAGTGCTTATCTCAGGGGACTGTTTGAGACTCATTACAGGCTGGGAATGAACATAATTCCCAGCGTTGAAATAAAACAAGAGTTGTTTGGACTAAGCATGTGCTTAATTATGGTCTCTGAAGCCTTGGTCAGAACAGCGATCCTGTTTTACACTACAGTAGGTGTGCACAGACTCTCCATGAGGGAAGCAGATTTTTACTGCAGTCCTGAAAGGCATTCTGATTTTAAAACAAAACAAAAACCCAGAGATGTCTTTATCTTGATTTGCTTGCAACACTCCTGCCCAATTCAGTTGCAATTGTGCCCATTTCTGTTCCACACCAAAAGTTCCTGGCAATTTGTACTTTTTAAAAAATAGGGCAACCCATGAATATGGCAAATATTTAATGACAAAGAATATTCAATGACTGGGGGAATCATGTTCAGAAAATAGCTGGCAGTCAGATGTTAGATATGCAAAGCAGCTGTACTGTGTGACTGAGGACAGCTGTATTGCCTGGAGTCTCATATTCATCCATCCACAAGTTTTTCCAACTTAAAGATGTGTCATGTCATTAGGCTTTTTGGAGTTGGATAGGAGTTAGGGAACATTTAAAAAGTCGAAAAGTGCTGCAAAAGCTGCTTTTGAGGAGAGGGGGCAAGGACATTTCAAGCTCTCGTTACAAAGCTTAAGGACACGATTAAAAAGGTTAAAAAGATAAAACCTCCCTCAAGTCAAGCTTGACTTTTGGTGACCTTATGGACCTGACTTGGGTTTTGTTTTTGTTTTTTGTTTTTTCTTGGCAACACTACCAAATTATTGCTATTGTTTTTCTCAACTTGCTTGTCTAGCCTACAGCCTTGGTATCTTCTGGTGGGCAGTCATCCAAAAAGAGCTTGTGTCTGAATCTGCTTAGCTTTCAGCCAAGTTTAGTTCGGTTCTGCCACTTGCTATAACTAGCTGGGTTGCTAGGGAGGCCACTTTGGGTATATTGAATCCTGGGCTAATATTTTTGAAGCTTTTTGATATACGTGGATGAAGATAAAGATTTTAAATCAAAGGGGACGTCCATGCCAGAAAACACCCCCAATCATATACACACTGTTTAAATGGGGGTGATCATTGTTCTCTGTTATCGTTTAATAATTGTTAAATACCACCACTATTTCTTTGGTAATGTCCAAGGTGTAGTTAAAATGGTAGTTAAATGTCCAAGGTGTAAACAGGAAGAACTCATCACTCAAAAAAGTATATAGTTCATGCTTGGATGACATGATAGACATAGCTTATGGTTAGTTCTGAACATGATTGATGGCAAACAGCTGTCTTGTTTGATGCTTTTCAATTTCCAGCTAAGACCAATAAAAGAAACAAAACCAAGGAAACAGCTGATTATTTTAATGTCAGTCCTTGGTTAGTGAGGGCAGTAATCAGGGTTTGTTGATGCAGCAAGTCTTTAAAAAAGGTCTACAACAGATGTTTGATATATCATGTTTTTATCTATAATTAACCATCCAAAGTCACTGTACTGAGATGGGCAACTCCATAAATTTCAATCAATCAATAAATGTTTGTTGATAAGCTCATGAGATAATGGGAAGAAACTAGTTGGCATAGGAGAAACCACAAGCTATGCTTGTCATGTTATCAACATAGGTGCACCAGTGGTGGGATTCAATTTTTTTACTCCTGGTTCTGTGGGTGTGGCTTGGTGAGCATGGCTTGGTGGGCGTGGCAGGGGAAGGTTACTGCAAAATCCCCATTCCCTCCCCACCCCACTAACCTGCTTTCCAGCTCCATTCTCCTGTGCAGGGCAACAAAAGAAGACCCAGCTAATCAGGTGGGACTCAGGAGGCAGAGAATAGATGGGGGTGGAGTCAGTCAGAGGTGATATTTGCTGGTTCTCTGAACTACTCAAAATTTCCGCTACCGGTTCTCCAGAACTGGTCAGAACCTGCTGAATACCACCTCTGATGTGTACCAATGAATGCAGATTCATGCGGTTTTGCATTTCCACCAAATACTGTCATAAATAGATGTTTTTTCTGAATTGCTTTCACTGTCAGGGCTCCAATAAATCCACCCCCATTCAAATCAAAAGTTGACATTTTCCTTCTTACCCCCTCTTAATGAATATATTTTAAAGGAGTGGTTCTCAACCTTTACTTTATCATACCTTTACATACTTTTTGTGGCACCAGCCACGGCCACGGACTACCAAAACTTAACCCAAGATTTAAATCATAGCATTTCTTCAAACCTTCTCAGACCCCCTGTGATGGCATTGTAGCCCTCCAGGGGTCTGTGGACCACAGGTTGAGAACCACTGGTTTCAAGTCTTTCTGTACCTTATTTTCAGAATTGTCTATATCCAACAGACCAGGAGTCCCCAACCTGTAGGCCACAGACCAATACCAGTCCATGGCTTATTCGCAACTGGGCCATGTGGGTGGTGCATGTGTCTGCACGCACACAGTCCCACTCACATGAGCATCACAGGAGCTCGTGGCCCTACTCATATGAGCAATGGGTACTCATGTACAATTGCACGTGCCTGCCCCTCTCACAAAACATCCCCTCTTCCCCCGCCCCCGCTCTGGGCCATCAACCCAGAAAGATTGGGGAACTCTACAATAGACAATTATCTCATGGATTTTTTTAATCTGAAGCACCCTATTAGTTATTGCCATTTTTGTAAGCATGTTGGTTCTCGGTTATCACCACTTCCTAACCTTTTGAAAACTCTAGATGATCCTTTGGAAAAGATACTGATGAATGTCAGTCCATTAGGTGGTAGAGATGATGGAGTGGGGGCGTATGTATGAGCTTCCCATTTCCCCTGACTTTCCTAAGAGGGATAATCACAGAATTTCAAGCCCACATATGACTCATTAATGACTACCAGGCCATTGTTTAAATAACTGATGTCAAATTATCCATGGATATTTTGAAAACTAATAATATACTTAATTCAAAGCATAGCAGCCTGTAATTGCTGGTAGGATCAAGTAATAGTCATTGTTTACTAAAGAAGATGATCCATTGAATTAAGAAGGATTCGTTTCCAAGGTCACAAGTCTTTAGACTTGCATCTTCTTTGGCATTACACCAAAGCATAAACATATGTGGGGAAATTCAGATTGATATCTTTCAGAGGGGAAAAAAAGTCCTATTGTGTATAGAACAGATCAATGCAGTAATATATTTCTTTCTTTCTTTCTGTGGCTTCTAGGGTCAAAATGTATTTGGACTTGATATCATTGAAACACCTGAAGGAGACAAGTGGCCCCAGTTGATAGTGCAACAAATCCTTGACAGGGAGCAGAAGGACACCTATGTGATGAAGATTAAAGTGGAGGATGGTGGAAACCCTCCGAGATCCAGCACGGCCATTCTCCAAGTCACCATCACTGATGTGAATGACAACCGTCCGGTCTTCAAGGAGAATGATATCGAAGTCAGCGTTCCTGAAAATGCACCTGTGGGCACCTCCGTTTCTCAACTTCATGCCACCGATGCCGACTTGGGATCCAATGCCCAGATTCACTTTTATTTTAGTAGCCAGATCTCTAGTTTGGCCAAAAGACTGTTTGCCATCGATAACATCACTGGTCTTATCACTGTCAAGGAGCCCTTGGACCGGGAGGAATCCCCAGTACACAAATTAACCATTTTGGCGAGTGACGGCAGTTCCACTCCTTCCAGAGCTACCGTAACAGTGAATGTCACAGACATTAATGATAACATTCCCTCAATAGACACAAGGTATATTATCAATCCAGTGAATGGGACTGTGTTACTGTCCGAGAAAGCACCACTCAATACTAAGATTGCCCTGATTACTGTGATGGATAAGGATGCGGACCTTAATGGCAAAGTTACTTGCTTCACAGACCACGATGTCCCGTTCAGGTTAAAGCCGGTATTTGATAATCAGTTTCTCCTGGAAACAGCCACCTACTTAGACTACGAGGCCACCAGAGAATATGCCATCAAAATAGTGGCTTCGGATTCAGGAAAGCCACCCTTGAACCAATCTGCGATGCTGCTGATCAAAATCAAAGATGAAAATGACAATGCCCCGGTGTTCACGCAATCCGTGATTGGGCTCTCCATCCCTGAGAATAACGCTCCTGGAACCCAGCTGACCAAGATAAGTGCTACCGATGCTGACAGCGGCCACAATGCTGAAATCAGTTACATGCTGGGATTGGATGCTCCCCCGATTTTCAACCTGGATCGCCGTACAGGCATTCTGACAGCCGTGAGGAAGTTGGATCGAGAAAAACAAGATCGCTATTCATTCACGGTGCTGGCTAAAGATAATGGCATGCCACCTTTGCAAGCCAATGCTACTGTGACTGTTTCTGTTTTGGATCAAAATGACAACAGCCCTGCTTTCACACACAACGAATACAACTTCTATGTGCCAGAAAATCTTCCCATGTATGGCACCGTTGGACTAATCACTGTGACAGATGCAGACTCTGGAGAAAATGCAATAGTGACCTTGTCGATATTAAATGGCAAAGATAATTTCATTATTGATCCTATCACTGGAGTCATAAGGCCGAATATTACTTTTGACAGGGAACAGCAAGGATCTTATACATTTCAGGTGAAAGCAGTGGATGGGGGCAGGCTCCCACGCACCTCCACGGCTAAAGTTACTATCAATGTTGTCGATGTGAATGACAACAGGCCTGTTTTTGTCATTCCTTCCACCAACTATTCCTACGACTTGGTTCCGATGTCTGCCAGTCCAGGCTCCATGGTGACAAAAGTGTTTGCTGTGGACAATGATACAGGGATGAACGCTGAGCTGCGTTATAGCATTATTGGTGGGAATTCGCGAGGATTGTTTATGATCGATCAGTTAACGGGCAACGTCACTTTGAAGGAGAAAGTCATCTCAGCAGATCATGGATTGCACAGATTGGTAATAAAAGTCAATGATTTAGGGCAGCCTGAATCTTTATATACCATAGCATTAGTGCACTTATTTGTGAATGAAACCGTCACCAATGGATCCTACATCCAAGAGTTGGTCCGCCGCAACATGGAAACACCTGTTGGCCAAAATGTCGGGGATGGAGACATTACCCCACAAACCAATGACTACATCAAAATCATCATTGCCATCATCGCAGGCACCATGACAGTGATACTGGTCATTTTTGTGACAGCCCTGGTACGTTGTCGCCAAACTCCTAGGCACAAAGTGGTGCAGAAAAGCAAGCAGAGTGGTGAGTGGGTTTCTCCAAACCAAGAAAACCGTCAGATCAAGAAGAAGAAGAAAAAGAAGAAGCGGTCTCCCAAAAGTCTTCTCCTAAACTTTGTGACTATTGAAGAATCTAAGCCTGATGATCCCGGCCATGAACACATCAATGGCACCTTGGACATTCCTGTAGAGCTAGAAGAACAGACTATGGGAAAATATAACTGGGCCACCACACCCACCACTTTTAAACCTGACAGTCCAGATTTAGCAAAGCACTACAAGTCTGCCACTCCGCAGCCCACATTTCAGATTAAACCTGAGACTCCAGTACCACCGAAGAAACACCATGTCATACAGGAACTTCCTCTGGATAACACATTTGTGGTGGGTTGTGATTCCCTCTCCAAGTGTTCTTCCAGTAGCTCGGACCCATACAGTGTATCTGAATGCAGCTGTCAAGGAGGGTTTAAAGCTCCTGGCTCCGTTCACACCAGACAGGTAAGAACAACTTTTGTTCTACATCTTTTTCTTTGTTTTGTCACATTCCTTCCTTTCTGATTTAGTTCCTTCCTTACACTCTGACCTTAGAACAAGGGTCTTCAAACTTGGCAAGTTTAAGACTTGTGGACTTCAACTCCCAGAATTCCTGAGCTAACATGATTGGAAGAGGAATTCTGGGAGTTGAAGTCCACAAGTCTTACAGCTGTCGACTTTGAAGACCTCTACCTTAGAATGTGGATAAATGATGGATAGAAGATAGATGATAGACAGACAGACAGGCAGGCAGGCAGGCAAGCAGGCAGGCAGACAGACAGACAGACAGATAGATGAGAAGAAAACAGTTTCTGATCCATCTATTAAAAGGAAGAAATGTAGTTACTTTTAGCTACAAGGAAAATGTGATTGCTGAGTGTTCATGTTAGGGGATAACTCTTGTCTGCAGATGGCAGTGTGGCACTTCTTCCTTTGCATGCATAAGAGCAGATCTGCAAAACAAAAGAGAGGTTATGGTTTAGTCCAGCTAGCAAGATATGTTTGGGAATTTAAGAAATCGGGACTAGGTGGAACCCATTAAAGCTCTGCAGGGTCTCCTAAATTGTTCCTAATGCTAATGGGATCTGGAATTGCCAATTCATTTCATTTACTTGGATCAGTTCCTCAAAGTTTCTAAGAAGCAAACCCAATTTTATTCCCTCTTTCCCACATTATAAGTCTTAAGGAGTTGAGTGTTATTTGCAAGAATAGGCATTTACACTGCTGTCTAGATTTCTAAAAACTAGGTGCCTGACATAATCAACAGAAGGAAACAACCCTAAAATGAATCTTGAGTGGGGTAATCACAAATCCAGCTTTTGGAAATGAGCACAGCTCTTCATTCCTACTCTTGTCTATGAATGGGTTAAATTGCAGTTCTGATTTACAAGATGGTTAAGACGTTTGTTAAGACATGGCTTTATAATAATGCAATAGAAGCACAGCTCTAAATTGTCATTGCAGAAAGCGAAACTGGTTTAAAAACATTCAGATAAGAACACAGACTCTCCAGTTAATGCAGGGAGATTGTCACTTAATTTTATTTTTATTTATTTTATTTTATTTGTCTGTCAAACATGTACAAGATAACAAGTATAGGTATGAACATATAAAGCACTTTTAAAAGAGCCAGAGTCTCATTTTTATGTGGTGTAAATTTATCACTAGGGATTGCAATTTATTTATTAATGGGATGAGGGACATATTTCTTACCTAAAACTGTTCCAGCTAGGAATTGAGTTTTTGAATTTTGCCTACCCTTTTGGTTGCTTCTATCCAATCGGCAAAATACCAAATGTTAAAGGAAGTTACAACAATGGTCTTCTGAATCTTTAGAATAGGATGACTGTACTTTCACACAACTAAAGTTATAATCTCAGGATCAACGTAATGTTATAATAGTGGTCAATTTGTATTTGTAATGCAAATGGACACAAGCCAGCATTCTACCCTGTTTCCCCAAAAATACGACCTAGCTGAAAGTAAGTCCTAGCTTGATTTTTACACATGCACCCAATATAAGCCCTACCCCCAAAATAAGCCCTAATTAAGATCCCACCCACTCCAGAATGGACAGGTAAAAATTAAGCTAGGGTGGGGATGGAGGTGGATGGAGCTGCCCTACTACTTACCTTTGGACAGTTGTAGCCAGGGCTCGCATACCCTGACACCTGCCTTGCTAGCCCATTTCTTCTGCAGCCTGCAAGGCTGTGAAGGCTTTCCTGAAGGCCTCTGTTGCTGATAACAAAGCTCCATGTGGATCCAGAGCTCTGTTATCAGCTTCAGAGGCCTTCAGGAAAGCCTTGCCAGCTGCAGAAATTCCTGAAGGCCTTTGATAGCAAAAAGGTGGCCAGGGGTGATGCACACAAGTGAGGTTAGTCAATGGATGACATCCCCTGAAAATAAGACCGGGTGGCAAAAATATATATAAGACAGGGTCTTATTTTTAGGGAAACATGGCAACTGTATGGCTAAAATTTGCCTTATGCTATAGAATAGGCATCAATGTTTAAGATGTCTCCTATAATTTGGCAACCAGGAAAACCCTAGTCCTGTTTATTTTATATAATTGTGCTGTCCATTCTACTTCTTGGTAGCAAAAATATACCCTTAAAAAACCCTGCTTCTTATGAAATGGAAGCACAAAACAATTTGTAAACCAACCAGCACACTGTATGTACACCTATGGAAGATAGCTTGATGTTTTTATGTTTTGTTGGTTTATGTTTGTTTTTAAAAACCAATAAAATTAAAAATAAAAAAACCCTGCTTCTCTTACACATATTTTTCACCATTCTTGATTATTGCATTTTCCAGTAAAGTTGTAACAATTGAACAAGAAACCTTTTATGTTGATTCCATTTTTTTCTTTCTATCCTTTGTCTGTGCACAATCCCCTCTTTCTCCAGGCTTTATGTCTCAATAGAAGTAGTCTAAAAAAATTCTCAAGAGGGTGAAGCACTGTCATGTTGATGGTAGTAACTTAACTTATAAAGACATACTTTCTTTCTAGGTTCCTTGACTTTAGAGAAGTTCAATAAAAACCAAAGGCTCACAGAAGGAAACCCTTGGGGGTGTGGTATCTTATTATGATGTGAAAATTGTATTTACCAAACTTTGAACCTACTGTACTTTGTACAGCAGAGTCCAATGCAATAGGCTGATTTATAATAAGTAAGGTAGATCTCTGGGGACATATATGTAGAATGAACCCGTATTGGAGTTGTGGTTTATTTGGAAAAGCAATTTATTTCATTGGTCATTGCTTTTCCCAATGAATTCTGGGAATGAGAACTATTCAATAGAAAATGCAACAACTACAGCATTTTCAAAACACCCAAGGAGGAGAAGTAATGGGTGTTGAAGTTTGGGGTATACCTAATATCCAGTTAGGGTAGTTTCCATGGATAATTGTTCTGCTGAACCTTCTGAATCCCCTGTGAATGCTCAATACTATCTTTTAGCGATAGGAGCCCAACTGCTTTCCTCTGTACTTGCTCAATTGGTTTGCTACTTATTTTATAACAAGTAGTAACTCCATTAAAGATTATTGCTGCATTTTCTTTTCTCACTGTTTTCATTTGTTTTGATTTTAAGCACACCACAATCAGTTATATTTTCATGAATATTTCTGAGGTTCTTCAACAGATCTTATTTGCGGAGCCACTAAGAAGTATATTATGGGAGTTTAATCATGATTACAACACTGGGAAGTCCCCTGATCTTCGGATACCCTAGTAAATTCCCAGGCAAGAGTCATGACAAAAAACATGTCCAAAATTAGTGAGGAAAGGATATCATCACCTTCATCATTCCACCATGCACCACATGACAAAATTGTTCCAACTATTTTAATATTCTGAGAGTGAGAGTGAAAATCAAACATACTCTTGCATAGAACTAAAACTTAGGGGGATTTGGTGGGTTTTTGGAAGAATATTGATAGATACCAAACTATTGCCAACCTCTCATTTATTCTGGCCAATATTTAGAGGTGGGAGGTGCCCCCCGCCCCCCCCCAAAAAAAATGTGCAGATAAGGAAATAAAAGAAGACACAGTGTGCCAATTCAACTAAGTTAACCGAGCATATAAAGCAGAATTTGAGATTGTAAGCCAATCCCTGACAATCAACAATCGGGAATGATTGATTTGCTCTCATTGCTTAGTAATTGCCCCAGGCAGATATCTCACTCTACCTAACTGTAAGACTAGACCTCCTGGCAGCTGATATTCTATAAGCCAATATTTAAAATAATGAGGGGAGATGGGGTTGGTTAAGGCCAGGGCTATTCTCATGCTGTTTCTCTGTTTGCCAGCTCTGAACGTCTTCGAATCAACTGTTAAGTACCGAAGTCGTACACAATGATGTTAAGCCAGCAAACATGGAAATATGGGCATAGCACGAGAAAGCCCTTTGTCTTCCTTCCCTGATTGCTGAAGAATTTTTTCGTCTGATCTCCAGAGGGTTTTCGAAGTGGCGTTGAACTGTCAAGCTGCCCTACTCAAAGGTATTCAGGGCCAGGACACTAACAGTTGGAAGGAATGTAAAGGAAAAGAAAGGAAAAAGAAAAACAAAAGACCAAGAGACTTTCAGAACATTGTTCTTTGGCTGTTCTATAATGTCATTTTTATGCTGAAAGAAAAGGGAGGGGGAAGTGATACTGACCACTACTCCATGTGAATGGTAGTAAACTATGACATATACACCTTTCATTCTCTTCAGTTGCTTCTAGCCACATTCTCTTTAATTGATTCATTCCCTTAATTTATTTTTGTTCACAATATCTGTGGTCCATTCCTCCCATTTCTTATTCACGTTGGAAAAAAAAAGAGCAATAACAAGTTATGCACATACACTTGAAACAGACAGTGGTCAAATTCTTTATACCCCCTGCCTTTCTTGATAAAACTGATTGCTTTGTGTGTGCTTCACATTGGGGAAAAATGTTATTTATTTTTGCAGTATTTTGTAGGAAGACGTTGTCACTATTCAGAGTAGCCAAATCTGGGGTGGTTGGATTGTCCTTTTGTTTTGATTTACAAACTTAGCCTAAGTTGGTTCGTTTCTTGGCATGATGAGAGAGAGCACTTTCTCACCCATTCCACACAAGAGGGAAAATAAAGCTTCCAGTTAAAAGTTTCAAGTTAAAAGTGAATACAAGGCAAACTTTTAAGAAGAGAGATTTACAAGGTTGTCCACCCCACAATCAGAAAGAATCCGGTAACACCTTTTAATAGGTCTAGGCATACCCCTGGAGAGCATATTGATGATTCTGGTCTTTCATAAACACATTGGAGACCTTGAAATGATTCATGAACTGGGAGAGTGGGTGGAGGTCAGGAAGCTAATTGGCCTGTTGATTTTCTCAGTCCGTCCGGGTTTAAGAACTGGTTTAGTATCCTCCTGAGGTTGGTAAAATGAGGACCCATATTGTTGGCGGCAATAGACTAAGTCTGTAAACTG